GCCTCTTTCTTGGCTGGGGTGCTCTAAGAAGTTTTCTTTTCACGTCAGGGTGATGTACGGCATAGTGACCAATCTGCAAATTCTCGCGAAAACGCACTTTCATACGGAAAAAAAGTAGCTTATGTCAGAAATGCAGAGATGAGCGATGACTGCTGGCCGTCCAATTTTGTTCGGAAAATACAACAAAACAGAAACTGTTAAATGAGTGACAAGGGAATAATTTAATAAAAGTAACGAAGGCCCTAATTGGATAATGCTTGATATAGTTATACCTTCGAATGCTACCTCTCGGCCCTTTTGAAGCTGATAGAGGATCGCATTTAGTCATTGTTCACCATGTCGACGGTAAAGGCAAACAAGGTTTTTGGGGGCTGTTGCTATGTGCGATTGTGGCACAAAGTGGACTAAAAGAAAATGTATCTAGAACAGAAATCATTGTGATGCCATCGCAAGCTCCTTGCCGTAAACTTCACCGTAGTCTTTCTCCTGTGCTACGCAAATACTGCTAGTGCTTTTGCCGGAGAGGCTGCCTTTTTTACATTTAAAAGCCACAGCGCTGCGTGGTTATCTGCAATCACTGCAGCCATTGGTTGGTTGCTTGACGACTTTACTGAAACCAACTAAGCTTTGTTCTTTTACACTAAACCCTTTTTAGCACTCGACCCCCGCTTCTTTTTTCTTCCTATGCCATTCTCCATTTCCTTGTCGCCATCCCCACCTTTCGGACATCTCTCGTTGCTGCTGCTGAACGTAGCAGTTTCTATACTGACTGTGTGTGCACTTGCGTCCGGGCGAGGCTGATGCATTTGCGAGACGGCTTCCTTGCCAGTTTCCGTGCTTGCCTCACCGTGCATCGTGTGGTTCCCGCCTCGCGTTCTGCCTTGTGGACTTCGTTGGCTCAACTTGAATTGCTGCTACTTTAGCTGCTGCTACTTCTCGCCGCGTTGGCCCGACGTACCGGTCTGCGTATCGGTGGCTGCAAAACGACTTCTAATGCTCAAACGTTATTGCCGAAACATACAGCATCGTGGGGCACAGCATAGTATGGCTTTCCGTGCAGAATACGGCCACTGCACGCGGTCCTGGGTACTGACTGCCTCGCTGCCCCACTCTTCGTATTCTTGTGCGTTCGGCGACGTTACCCCTCGTATGCCCTTCTAAAACTCCTGTCCCTTTCTAGCCTTCAAACAATATCCCAAAAAGCGCTCTGCGCTACTCGTATGCCCACGTACCCCCTGACCCCCAGATTCGTCTGTTTCGCCAATCGATCAGACATTCGGGGCAACCTGCCTGCCACCGTGAAGACTTTAACATAAAATACCGAAAGAAAAGTATCAGAAAAGTTTAGAAGGCCTGATGCTCTCTTGGAGCTCTCTCTGTTTCTCCTTTCAGGCCACCTTTTACATCTTCTCGCCTGCTTCTCATAGATATCGTGTGCTCAACTCCGTTACAAGCGGTGCTTGCTTTGAAACCGTCTTTACTCCCGTCAATGGGCACCAATAACGTTCGCGTTTGTCTGGCGACATCCTGCTAGAGAATCGGCGAGTGGCGGTCGATGTATTTGATGTGGGTGTAGGTCTTCCAAAGTTCTCGTAAACGTGATAGCTCACCCTTGTCTCTACTTGAACACAATTGTCGTACATACAGAGAAAGAAGCCGAGCCTTAAGGAGGTCCTGTAAGCTGCCTCTAGAACTTGGTTTCGACTGCAGGAAACGAATAAAAAAGATTGATTGATAGCAACGAATGGCATATGTCCACTGTAATCGTTCAGCGTCTGAAAGACCCTCGCAATATAATAATCTAGGGATTTGCACCCGTTCATGCGTGTTATACGACATACATGTGCACATATAGATATATTATATAATATAATATACTGTACTTGTAGGGCTGTACTTGACAGCCCTACATATCGACACATGACGTAAGTGGAACGGACGTAGCTTGTCTAAACCCAATGTGCACTTTAGTTATTAGGCTGTTACGAGCAAATTTTGAAATTGAATAGCTTTTAAATTAGAATGATGATTTTTTATTATGTATTAGAGACTTTATTTTTTACATACTTGGCTTCATAATCCGGTAGCCCCCCCGGACAGCCGTAAACCTATCACTTGCGTTTTCGTGTGTAATTTATAATAAGATACGCTTGTCCACTAGTTGCTATTTTTAGAACATGGACATTATCATACGGACTTAGGTCGGGAGAATAAATAGGTTTAACCTAAAGTTAGACATTCTTTTGCTCAGCCCCGGAAGTAATGAAGACATGGCAATGAGGTCTAGCGTTATAATCAAATAACCGGAGTGCGTGCTTTCGATTGCTGTGCAGCGCTTCATGAGTCTCTTGAGGAGCTCGAAACAGCAGGTTGCATTAATTGTCTCATTTTCGGCAAGTATCTCATAGTAATAGGTTCCCTTGATGTTCATTGTAAACATGGCCGTCGCCTTACCTCCGAACCTACTCGACACTCACCGAACTCAATTTCTCTCCAGGGCGACGCCATTCTTTCGTCCTTCTCCTGCTGCCGGTAAAAGTTGAACCACGTCTGGTCTCTTGCCACCGTTCGCTTCAAGCGGGTTTCTTGTAAACTAAATTTACGAAAATGCCACGTTGAATACACCATATGCATTTCCAAGAGGCTTGGAATCAATTCACAGGGGACCCATTTTTACTCAGTTACTCATTTTCGATACTTGGGTCATAATTTTGTAAAAAAACAGTTTTAGTCGATTGAGCCTTTCGACTTTAAGCTCTGTTTTCGTAGAAAGCATTTTTGGTTGTAGCAACGTGTCCTTGTGCTTCGGCTTCCAACATCTGGTCACCTTCGCGCTGGTCTTCAACTTTTAATTTCCTTTCTTGAAACGTTTGCACCTTTTACATACTGTGCTTTCCCTTAAGACGTCTTTGCCTAAAGCCGTCACCAATCTTCCATGAACCTCCGTGGCCAGGCCTCCAAGAACACTGTGGTCCACGAATAGTGAAAACTTAACCAGTAGATGTTGATTTTCGAAGTTAGAACATGTTTTTCTTTCTAAGCTCATTTCGCTTGTTTCTACAAGATTCTTGTCACCCATAAGTTTCTAAAAGTCTGGAGTATTTACAGGCCAAACTAAAGGTTATTCAATTTCAACGTTCGCTGGATTCGCTTGTAGTTGCCTAATAACTATATCAGGCTATAGTTATGTTTAGGATGGGAACATGCCTAAAAGGAGTACAGCAAGACTCAAATTTAATTTCCCAGATATGGTCATTATGTAATACCTTTATCGCTTTTTTACATACCCATTGTACCATAAAGAATCGACGCTCTTATTTATTTCTACTTGCGAATTAAAAGAAGTAACATCTACTTTTCAAGCTGCTTGTAGGCAGTAAAGATATCGCATCTAACGACTGAAGGCTCTGTCAGATGTTAAAAAGGAAAACTTTGCCAGCTAGGAAGAGAAACTTTCTAACTATATAAAGCGAAAAGTAGGTTTAGACTTACTCTACAAATGTAATTTTTAAACTTAACACTAAGAAACGGTCCTTGAGCTGTAGCATGCTCGCTACGAGCTCTTTAGTGTCGCAAAGTAGGACCGAATTGAAACCACCGGTTGATCTTCAAGTTTATGCACATGTATTTTTCCCTATTCGGTATAAATTATTTTTTTTTAATCTGTAATTTGACCATATATCCCTGATTTGATAACATTTTCGCTTTAGTTAATAATATTAGTAAGTAAAATAGCCGATCGTTTATCTCAATCCAGCCAGGTACTGGGTTAAGTTTAGAAGTTTTTTCACGTTTGCACAGTAGTTACTTTCGTGTATGTATCCAAGCCATGGTTGTTATAACAATTACATTATAATCAAATGATAGATTCCAACACCACACACGGTTCGAGCAAATATGTTAGATTTGGTGGGCTTTCAAACGAAAAGTGACCCATCGTAGTCCAGTGTTCCACACACAAATATAAAAATATAGGAATAACATAGTGGCAGAAAATACACGTATTCAGAAGGCTAAATACTACATTAGCTTTTTCTTGGAAGTATATTCGTAGCGTATTTTATAAGGCCTAAACGAGCCTAAGAAAAGTAGTTGATGATAAATTATGCGTTCATAGCCTTCATGACAACATTTTTTCATTCACAATATTTAAGCAAACTCTAAATGTGACGGCTTCTTGCGTGACCGTACTTTACAAAATCGTTCTTAGCATAGCCGTGTCCTTCGCAGCAATTATATACATTTACCTGAGAATCAAAGAGATCTCAAGGTGCATTCGGAGAGACTGCAGTGCGTGAGCTACAGCTTTAATCTGTACCAAAATACGAAACAGAGTTTTGTTTACTTAAGTAAATGGCCTCGTTGTATGCTTTATTAATGGAGGCCGCCATAACGTGAAGAAGCACCTCTTCTGTGTTAGCGGCCGCTATTCATGTTCCACTTTTTTATATTTCGTTTAGAAGCACACTCTCGAACCTCGATGCTAGTGTAAAAGCTGTGAACTACACCGACAATATGGCTCATACCACTGGGAAAGCTATAAAGTTCAACTTTAAGCTAAAAATCTCCATTTGAAAGCTGCTCTGGGTGAAGAATAATAGTCATAATTATATACTGACAACGGAAGAAGCGGCACAATGCAACTAGTTTGCAGTCGAAACGTCATGGAATGATCGACGAGAACATACCGAACAATTAACATTTACCAGATATCGTTAGTCGCGCGTCCAAAAAAGACGAATTGAATATCTCACTCGATTATTGCCAACATGCCTGATCTATAAATGAAACTATCTGAAGGCTGGTGGTGCCGATTTCATAGAAAAAAAAAAAAAAAAAAAAAACAGTCAATATAAACTCTAACTGCGTGTTTTTAACACACCTTTTTGTTTATTTAGAGGCGTAAATTGAGCAGTCGCCACTCAAGTGGGAGAAATCTCACACTAATCAGACTAGTTCAATTATCACTATTTTATAGCTGGTCCTACGTTTTGCAAACGTATACATTAAAGTCACCCCTGTCATTCCTTTATTTATGTATCATAAGACGTGTGTCAAGCGTAACGATGTCTGGATTTGTCAACCTGTCTTCATGACGAACGCCTAAAAGAAAGAATCACGATCAACATAAGTACGCTGGATAAGTAACAAACCTTAGTTAACGAAAAAAGATTGACTAGTAATAAATAGACGTCTGTCCTATTAGAAAAATCTAATTTCTTAAATATCCTTTGAAGCCCTGCAAGATTTCACCAACCATGCGTTCAACAGATAGAAAATATCATTATTACATTAGAGGAATAGCATTATATATGCTCCTAGTGAGCGATGTCATATATATATATATATATATATATATATATAATTCACAAATATATTTAACTAAAAGATGTAGTCTTTTTCTATTTTTTCAAATAGAAGAATTGAAATAGAAGAGATAAGGTTGACTACACGCTAGTCTCTCAAGGCAGAATGCCTAATACTATAAAGTTTGCTAGGGTGAACTAGCGAATGCTAGTCTTAATAAATATACATTATGTCAAAATTTATTAACTTAATTTAATTATTTAACAATTGAAGACGTAGATAATGTGTTACGTGAGCCTTCTGCTGAGCTTCGCAGCTACGCGGTGATCGCGACAGGATGGCAACGTGTGCCTATTTAGCACTGACAACCGCTGATCTTTACAATCCGGTAAGCTGCCGCCGATAGCTCTTTCGCGCGATCCGTTGTATTGCTGCTGACTTCGTTTGGACTAACGGTTCTCTTTCCACTGCAGTCAGCGGTGCTGGGAGAGGAGTCAACTGGGCCGGTCACTGGCGAACCAAGTGATGATTTTCTGAAGGGGTGACGAGGTTGCGCCGCAAGAGCACGAAAGACGAAGTCCAAGATGGCGGCCCTCCAGCTTAATGTGTAGCTGTCTGTTTGCATCAATCCGCTACCAGGCGGGTTAGTATCGAAGCATCGTTTGTGGGTCATGTGTGAATTCGAGTCCACTGGAATCGCACAGTTCTGTGACAGGTTTCATCCGGCAATGCGGACTATAGTGATGTGGTTGGTATAGCGAACTGCGTAAATATCTAACACGTGCAGAAATGATGGCTGTAATCGCACTATTGAGTTTCCGTGACTTCAAACCGTGTTCAGTAGCAATCGCTAAGTGACAACATAGAAAAGTCTGCCCACCTAGAAGGGCTACTGTGAAGTTCGTGCATTGTTAGTCTTGTGTTGGCGTTGCGCGTAAAGCCTCTTTACTTGACGGATTATGATGAACGCACTTGTTACAAGTCGTCTAAACAAAGATGTTGTCTAAAGAAAAAGGCAATAACGTAAATGAAATCGGAATATTTATTTCGTGTTAATGTCAGGTCACGCCGTAGATGCACAAAGAATAGTCTACGAATGGTACTTTGTTCTACAAAAAGGCTGACGTGCTACTTTTTTAGATCGCTGTCGCAATGTGTAAATAGTTGTAAAAGTATGTGTAAATAGTAGGACAAAATCCGCGTGAGCCCAAAGATAACTGAATATAATATACTCATACATCTTCATATAGCGTAACATACGACTGCTTCGATAATGTAAAGACAGGATTTTAACTAAATTAATTAGACTTTCCTTAGGGTAGGCGGTGTTTTGATCAACGCTAAATAAACGTACGTTTGTCGTATACTTAGTTACGTTGAATACGTCATAACTAGCGTACAAAGTGAAGTGTCATCGAAAACGAACTATTCCTGGTCAATTAAGCTTCACAGCAAAGAGCGTGATTTTATTATGATGGCTCCCTTTAGCAGAATGGTCAACTCCAAAAGGCTACTGCTGACGGTAAACAAAGCACACGCTACCGAGATTTCTTGTCTTTCAGCACAGCCATACTCGGTTAGGCACTAACTTTTTCAACGGAGTTCTTTTACGCAATTTATTGGGTTGGTGAATACCGAAAAAGTAAACATTTCGTTATTTCGTTCCAGAGATCAATCACTTGGAGAAGTTTTTGAAAGTGCCTAATTCGTCAATCGCTTGGACCGCAACGTTCGTTGGAAATGTTTTTATCTACGAAAAACAATCAGCATGCATAGTATGCCGCCGAGTACACAAGCTTCTTTATTTCTTCGTACATATTATATATATGTGTAGACATATATATTCATTTATGTTTTCCTTGATTTAAGTTCTTATTGCACAATGCATCGAAACGTTGTCGTTGATCGATCACCTGACGATCCACCCGTTAGTCCTAGCTTCGTTTATCAGACACACTGTATAATAATGCATTAACTTATTCCTATGTTAAGGTCACGTGTTGTTTAGCGTCGCTCGTCCTTTTCACTTATCTGACCATTCCTGTGCCATCATATGTTACCCTGGCAGTGCCGTGGCGATTCCCTCCCACCTTCGGGTCGTTCAAATGCGTCAGTGATGCGTAATGGGGTAAGTGCTCTTGGTGTGGACAATCTTTTCGTATGCATAATACGCATCGCAGGGTACGCGTGTTGCTGGATAGCCGTTCGATCGAGCAGATCGAAAAAACCTTCACCTCGAAATGACCATCAACACAATGAGACAGTGTTCCCTTGAACGAAGAAGATGGAGTAGAAACCACCTGTCGACCTTTCTCGATCTCATAAAGCTATAAACCCATATTAAGCTAGCTGTCCAAGCAGCTAGCCAGCAGCCGGAGTACAGTCTCATTTACTATTTCATTTCACATTATAAAATGTAGTCAGAGCGAGCTAGTTGAAAGGGAACAGGAGGCAATGAGAAAGACGGGAACTACATACAATAACCATGTTAGAAATTTCGCATTAAACTATGTCGACGAGTTTCATCTGACTTGCGCCGTGAACGTGTCAGCTCACCCGTGCCATGGCCGAACAGATGACGCCAGTTCTGCTCGGCGTGCTTCTATCGGACGGACATCCGGTTCAAAATTCGACTAGTCAGAAATGAGCATCTTGTTCCATCGAAGGCTTAATAGCTTCTTGCTGTGTACAATGGTAGATTGACTGTTTTTACAGTTCTGGAAATTGGCTTTGTTTTGTTTTTTGTCTGAATAGCTCCCATCTGTATATCGTCACGTGTACCGTTAAATCGACAGGGGCAACAAGCCAAGAGGCAAACGTTGCAGAACGGCCATGAGAGTAGTAGTACTACTGCTACTACTACTATAGTTACTACTAGTAGCAATAGTACTAGTAGCTAAACCACGAAGACATCGGGGGCGGGAGAAGGCCGGAGGAAGAGTAATTCTGACGAAAAGAGAACATTGAGACCGATGCGAAATGAATTTATCGTGGCCTTTATCATATGCAGTCAACACAGCAGGCTTTATATGCTAGTATGCCATATACTCGAGTGGCATACTAGTTTATGTTTCACACCGTCAAGGCAGTAGGTATACGTGATACGGGACTATAACTAAAGCGCAGAATAACAACTAGTGAACACCGTTATCATGACTAGTTGAATTTGTGGCCAAAACAATTTGTTTTGAGAACGTTTCCAGCCAAAGCTCATGGTACAGCGTACGCTTGGATATAGAGTAAACAGCGTAGGCATGTGATAATGACAGAAGGGCCAACGAAGACTACAACAGGCAACGAAGGCCTGGGTTTATGCAATAACTGAGTATTCGAGTGCAAACTCGACAACCAAATCGAACAGTCATAAATAAAAAAAAAGAAGGCACGACCATTATCTTTACTCCAATAAATGTTTTGATAATGTTCTGGTTCGTATTTAAAATATCCTCTTTCCAAATAATACTATACTTTCAATATATTTCTTAGATATCCACTGCAGAGCCGCCAATGCACGTGCAAACTATTTACACTGGGAATCTTCACAGCAATCTAACATATGTGTGCTTATGCATGAACGAGAGAGGTGGGTGGGGGCTGGGTAGAGAACGAATGCCCGTTCCTACGGCATGCACAGAAATTGCCAACTGGTTTCATTCTTCATTGTGAACTTCGCCCTGTGAAAGCAGCCACCGGCGTTGCTGCCAGCCACCGTCAGGATTATCACGTACAGGTGGCCACGTCATCCCAATACCACCTCTCCTTTGCTGTCCTCCCAGTTTTAACCCAGTTGTCAGACGAGCACGCTGTGCGTTTAGCTGCCCAGGCGCTAGAAAATAGCGACATGTCAACACATCTCTTCTCTAATAAACTTGCTAATAAGCTGGCTCACTCTAATAGTTGTGTTGGATGAGGACGTTTGAGTGAACAATGACATTCCAATTTAGGAGCGCTGTACTACTACGATTCGGGATGGAATTCCCGTTTCTTCTACCACCGTCGTCCTTCTACCCATCATTCCCGTTTTACACTAAGTCTACAACAGATAACGAATTGCACGCTTTTTTCCCTGTGCCTTTCGTAACGAAGTGCAACGCACGTTTATGTCGAACTGAGCTGCCCGATAGGCCACACGGTATAACACGTTCAGTCAATACGCCTATAAAATGGCTATCGGTTGATGGACCAACATTTCGTCCACCAGCGCCGTAGATATATATGGTTGCGCATCTGATTTACTAACATTCATAAATATCTATCAAGTTGATGCTAGCAACATAGGTTGAACTAGAACAAGTTTAGTTCGGGAACGGCTCGTTGAGGAAAGTAACGGCTCAGGCGCGTTTATTAACGTCTGCTCTCATCCTTTCCCTGCCTTCCGTTAGTGTTACCTCGCTACGTCTCCAACATTCCCATAGCGGCCTTCTCTCATTCGTTCTAGCGAGTTTCTCGCTTTTTCATTCCAGTTGGAGCAAAGTGGCGGTTACCAACGAAGCGTGGCCTATAGCACGTAGATATTCGCATATCTGTGGGTGCGTCGTGCCAGATTTTTGTCGCTCTATTACCACTGCGAACGGACTGACCAGTTAGCGTGCCAGTAGGGAAGCTGATCGGTCGAGCGAACAGCCTGTACGAAGTCTAGAGATCCAGTGCTTTCCTCGCCTATGCAACTGGCACACATGTGCGGCCATAATAGCATTTTTCATTCGTCGACATTGCACCACCCCATATTACAGCCAATGGCTACTTTGGATCGGGCTTCCGATCAACTATCCGTGCTGCGAGCACTGCCAACGGCCAGATAAGCTCACAACCGCATATTCCGATAAATATTTTCATTTTTATGAAATACCCAAAACATAGTAATATAATGGGCAGCACAGCTAGCTCTTCATCTAAACAGGCGATTGATTTTTAGCTCAGAAGCATCTGTAATTTTTAATTAAATTAGACACGATCGTGTGTACATATGCAGAGTATCGCAAACGCAGCTCGATTGATTTCTTCTTAAGTAATTAGGTGTGTAAATAGACGAGTGCGTTCTGACTATAGAAACGAAAATGGCACGAGCAACATAGAATAGCACGCGACCGTCGTCTCTTTCGCTCAAGATAACGCTATACGTTTTCAGTGTGGTAACTTATATTTGTCATTGCATGCAGTGGGTTGGCCCAGTGAGTTTGAGCATAAAGTACAAGAGCCAATTCGCATATCGATGGTGTGCAGCAACTCATATCCATTTGCAAAGGTACTGTGCCACGTAAGACGTTTCCATTTCGTGGCCAACTCCATAGATTACATGACTGAGAAAGGAGTGTAGTTTCACACTTGTTAATGTTGGTGATTTTGCTTTCAGGTTCCCGCAGGTCTAAATGGAGCATTTAAATCGGTCGATCAGTTTCCGCCAGCAGGTCCTTGCCAGAGCGATAATTGCTCAGATCGCAGTGTCCGTACTATTAACGGTTATCCCTTTGACTGACGGCGGCTGTGTTTCTCCTCGCACTATCTACCCCTGCAGGTGCCGCGGCTCAGATGGTTATGGTCTCAGTATCTATTGTGAAGAGGTCAATATCGCGTTGTTGTATTCGGGAATAGTGCGACTACAAAGTACTCCCGTTTCACTACTTGAGGTGGTCAATGCATCAATGCGGCAACTCTACGGCCCCATGTTCGTAGGGCCAGCCATTAAGAATCTGACGCTCAGAAATGGAGATCTGCGCGCTTTCAGTGCGGAAGTACTGAGTCCCCTTAACGAGACGCTTATTAATCTCGATTTACGAGAAAATGCGATCAAGGCAATGCCTATCGAGGCGCTGAAGCCGCTCAACAAGTTGTACTCTCTCAATCTGTCTCACAATCAAATCGAAATTGTTCCCGACCACGCGTTCGCCACACTCAGCGCGCTATTCGAGATCGACCTCTCGAATAATCGCATCAAGAGTCTTGCCCCGATGGCGTTCGTCGGTCAAAACAACCTCGAGAGGCTGCATCTTCACTTCAACGACATCGCCGTGTTCGACAAGAACACGTTTCGAAATATGAGAAAGCTCAAGTACCTCGATTTGGCAGCCAACAACCTTGACAAAATTCAGAAGACGGATTTCCAGCAGCTGACTGGCTTGTGGATACTGAACGTCTCGCACAATTACATTAAATCGATACCGAGGGCGACGTTTGTTACCAATACCGTTCTTCGCGTCCTAAACATATCGTACAATGCACTTAGCGAAATCGACCAGAACACTGTCAAGGGTTTGAGGTTCCTTCGCGACTCATACTTCCGTGGCAATCGCATTACTCGCGTTGATAAGAAGGCTTTCGCCGGCTCGAAACACATTCGAACAATCGACCTTGCGTATAATCGCCTCCAGGACATTCCCTACGAACAGTTCAAGGAACACCAATGGCTCGAGCGTCTTTTCCTTAACCATAATAACATCTCACGGATCGCGACACAGGCCTTCAGCCAAATGTACCAGGTGCACATCGATTTATCATACAACAATCTCAGCTTCGTCGGCAACAGGTCGTTCTCAAACGTAGCCAATATGACGATACTCGACCTATCACACAATCTGCTCAATGAGATGCCGAACGATGCGTTTACGGACAGTGACTGCACGACGCTTAATTTAATGTTTAACAATTTTACTGACATCACCAAGATACCGATAGCCAATTTAAGTTCGATCAAAGTTTTCAATGTCACCTACAATCGTCTCCAAAAGATTGACAGGAGAGCGTTTACGAAGACACGTCTCTACAACTTGGACACGGCCGACTTCTCCTATAACAATTTGTCGGACATCAGTGGAAATCCATTTGAGAAATTCGCTAGTATACGGTTCCTCAATCTATCCCACAACTATATCCGAAAGGTTAGTTTTTCAACATTCGGTAACCTCCCGACACTCCTTGAATTAGATATTAGTCACAACAATATTTCGGATGTGGCCCATTCGGGCTTGGCGACATTGGGTGCTGTTCGAGTGATCTACGCACAGTATAACCGAATCCATAAGATGTTCGCCATTCCGATAGCACTCAACGAGCTCCATGTACAAAATAACGAATTGCAACAGATTTATCCAGGCACAATCAACGTCATGAATTCGCTACTTCGCTTGTATCTGGATAACAACAATCTGACAAATCTCGTTCGAGGAGCGTTTGACGGACTCAACGCGCTACAGGAACTGTCGCTCGGCGGTAACAATATCACCGAGGTTCCATACGAAGCCCTCGAGGTTATGGCGGCGATCCAACATCTCTACCTCCATAACAACAGCCTAACGCTAGTAAAGAAACGTGATTTTGAAAAGTTTCCAACGTTGCTTAACCTACGCCTCGACCAAAACCGCATCTGGAACATCACTTGCGATGCGTTCGTTGGCAGCATCCAGTTACAGCGGCTAAATATGAGTTACAACAATATGAGCGAGCTTTCGCCCACTGCCTTAACTGGACTCGTGTCTTTGAGGGTGCTCGATCTCTCGCATAATCGACTGCGGGGTCTCCAAAACAAGACCCACGGACTCCTTGATGGCTTGCTCTCACTGGAGTACCTCAACGTCTCAGCCAATGATATTGGAACGATCTCCGACAAGACATTTCCACGGAACCCCTACGTTCCTTACCAGCTGAAAGCAGTTAATATGAGTTCCAACTTTTTATCATACATACCTGTTCTCAAACAGCCATCGTTGCAAAAAGTTCATGTCTTTGATCTGTCAAACAATTTGATCAATCAGTTGGAACGAGGCGCTTTTGCAAACCTTACAGACTTGCGACATTTGTCGCTTCGAAAAAATTACCTGCAGATCTTGCGAACAGGCTTTCTTGATTTGCCTAACGACCTAGTTGAGCTAGATCTGTCGTATAACCGCCTATCTGAGTTTACGCCACCTGCAGACGGCCTGTCGCCCAATATGGTCCTGTTGGACTTACGGCACAATAACATCTCAAGAATTAGCACGAACCTTTTCCCGCTCGTGAAAAATCGTCTCCGCCTGTACTATGCAGGTACGTTTCCAGAAAAAAGAATTTACAAGTAGCGCTTTTTTGACGCCGAACTATAAAATGACGTTATTAATGTTATATATTAGGATTTTTAATGGGCGTTTTGTATAATATTCATAAACGAATTTCAGTACATGTTCGGAAAGGTCAGCTTGTAAACCCCCTCTGCGTTTGGTAACCAACGTTGCTTACATGATATTTTAATATTGCTGCTGAAGCCAGCGACCGCTCTATTTGGGAGGAAACAAACTATCTGTAGGGATCTTGTGGCACTAAATTATTCACGTTAAGCTAACCGTAATGACATAAACCCAACATACGAAATATGGCCTCGGAAGCAGGATAGTAAGAACTTTGTTTACGACACCATCTGTTTTATGTAACTTTCGAGGTAAAGACTTTGGCAGGCAATTCTATGGTCAAGCACATAAGCTATAATCGATTATGTATAATTATATAACACTTAATCATATATTACCTGTTCCATACTTTAGCTACGCTCTCCATAGTTAATCCAAGATATACCATCTTCAGTAGAGGAGGTTTTCTTTTCAAGGAAAGGTTGAGTTACGTCTACGCACACTCCAGTGTATCCAGTCTCGCATTGCACACCAGTATAACTTTCCAATAAGGTTTTTCTATCGCAATGTTAATCTGTAGTAATACATGTAGTCTCGTGAGCATATCGCTGCTATATTTTTCCTGAGACACAACGAGTTTTTCTTCGTAGTTTTTTGTTGTTTTTGGAAATAGTACTTTATTTCATCGTTCGATAATAGTGTCTATGCGTAGAGTTTGACTTAAGACGAGCATTTTTCACGGTTCGCTTTCTATACCTTAATCTTTATTACGCTTTTCGTTTACGCTGTTTTGACTGTCGGCACTCCTTTGCTCCCGCCAGACAATCCGTTGCATTGCGAGTGCTCACTGGCATGGCTAGTGTCCTTTATCCAACGAAATCAGCGACCGCAAGAAGCTAGCCAATGGACAAATACGTTCTGTGTGAGTCCCGCTCATTTAGCCGGCAAGGCATTTAACGAAATTGCATTGGAGGGCCTTAATTGCGACGGCGACCCGACAGAGCAGACTACGGGGGACGTAACGTTCCGCTTTATACAGGTGAGTGGTTATGTTCTGTCATCACCCAACTCGTAACTTCCGAATGGGCTAGCGTAATTATAACTTTTGGGGCAATTTTGCACTATTTTAACGCAAACAATGGTATCGGGAACCGGCAAGTTCCGGATACTATCAAACTCCGTGTGCACAGATTTCGCGGCACACATATGAAGTTCGTCGGTGTTTGCAAATTTGCTAATGGAATGTTTTTATTATATTATTACTCTATTGTACGGCACCTTTTTTTCTATGCCGTGCAATCGAAGGAAAAATATCTCTGCTAATTTTATATACTTTGTATAATGTCCTATTTGATATTGAATCTTTGAGAAATGAGTCTGGTCAATGAAATGCTAATAAGGGCAGGTCGCGACAGTATATAATGTGGGCCTCGGCTATTTTGTACACGGCTTCAGAGTTCATCTTCGTGTCGTAGTTTCGTTGTCTGTCCCTATTAGCTGCTCTAAAAACGTCAGTCGGGTTTGTCTTTAATAATTTGCGATGGCAGCAATTAAGCTTTCATTGTAACAAATTCAAGGACAGACCCTGCTGTCAGTCGACGATCGATGGCAGGGTATCGTAAGATTCAATCTCTAACAAACCCTGTCTGCAGAAATTACCTCGGGGTTATTTTCGCGTAAACGCCACGAATGCGGGTATCATATCAGAGGAGATAGAAGCCGAGGAATAACGCCGTCAGCATCGTTTTGAAGGAAATGCCGCGTCAGTCTCACATAAGTCCATGCGGATCGCCCCTAAGGTTCTTTAACGTCCCATCGTCGATGGAAGGTGTCAATCGGCCGCCAGTAGCAGCATCAGTTCTGCTATATAATTACCTATGCATGCGTAGATGTGTAGAATAATCAACGTTGAAGCTTGCGTATTCAGTATTTGTCTACCAAACGGGAGTAGTCCATACATCCATTTACCGATAAAGCCGATTGTATGTTTAGTATGGAAAACAAAAAACTTCAAAGCTCATATAAAATTGACAGTAAAACCTTTTAGACGGTCATTTTCGTTTTCTTTCTATGGCTAACTTTAGATAGCCTTGTTGTAGATAGAACCTGTCCTGCTAGTAGATTATTAGAACGTGTATATTTTTATCACTGTCCTTTGCAGGTTGGACAGAGGTTCATCGAGTTGCAGTTCTACGTTTCATCTCGTCAAGACATCGGGGGCTTTCGCGTCGAAATCCGTTCATCACAAGAGGCTTATCTGTCGTACGAAGCCTTTATACCGTACAACAGACGATTTCACCGAATACCGCGTTCGTCGATTCGTACAAGCCAAGAGGTCGATATGCACACGCTTTGTGTATTGGCCACTGATTCAGAAAACTCAACAAGGCCAATTGCGTCTCGTCATCAATGTCGAGTCTTGTATCAGGCCATTGGTATAGCAGTAAGTAGGAAAACGCAACCAAGCCTAGATGTAATTGTGTTTGCTATTCTTATGCTAATTCTCAACGGGACGCGACTTATCTAAGTGTTTTGCCATCAGACGGATGCATCCAAGAACAAGTCGTGTTTAGCCACCAGTAGTAGGCAAGTAAAATTTGTTACGCACTGTTATGATATATGAAAATTGACTGTATTTAAAAATGTTCAAGTGTGAAAATAAAACGAAACGAAAAATATCGCCAGGTAATTATTTCTTACATTGGTTATTATAATGGTAAGAGCGCCTATTCGGATATGTTCGACGGCGTCTCGTATCGGGTTCGTGGGGTTTTTTGCGTCATCGCAGCTTTTTTTCGTTCGTCATCGAAATATACATACGTAATTCTTGTAAAGTTTTACCGAAGACGACCTGCAATCCAGCATATACATCCAAAGAAAGAATTCAGCATGAGCTGGCACGAGTTACCAATTTATATATGGTGCTATGCCACGCTGATATATAATACAGCGTTATCTAAGGAATAAATGTTGTCCGCACGCTACAACAAGTACTTGCTCTCAGGCCGTGGTCTTGAGCTGACATCTGCCGGCTGTTTTATCTTCGAAGTTATTGGTTTAATAAGAACTATTTGCATAACCACTTAATGGTGGTCAGTCATAAGCGAGTGATAACCCGTGTTACATTAAAACGGTAAAGTTTATTTAACTAATAAGCCAGATTAGATCTTTCGCTAAGTTTTGTGAGTCGAATTGCCTTTCACTATTTTATAGTATTACTCTGACCACACTTACGGCTGCCTGATATCCGATCATTTCTCAGGCGTTTGTGTCTCGCAGGCAGAGCGCGAGATTCGTGCGTGTTCTGTATGATGGTGTGGTGTCATAACGGCGGAGAGAGTGAACGTGAATTGAACAGCCAAACGACGACGGCTTAGTCTGATTGGTTGACTTGTTGGTTGGCAAGTTTTTGCCCCCTGCTTGGAAATAGCTTTCCAGAATTTATCGTACCCTCCTACAGATTGCCGTCAAACATCTGGAAAGCTGATGGAAAAAAAGCACAAACGCCTTATGCGTGGAAAGTTGGGCCGAGCGGGTTGGGGTACGCTATCTGCCTCCTTGCTGATAGATGCGCGAACACTGACTTTGGTTTCTGTGATGGCTGCAATGACAGCAGTGACGGTAGAACATACTGTGCAAGCACAGCGCCGCACCCGTTACTTCATACCTGCACAGGCGGGGTAAACTAAGCCTGTTCGATTGTCCTTCGTCTACCCCAGCCGCACCCAACACATGCGTCGCCGCGTTTACACTCGATGGAGCTAACCAGATTGGACTGGTGTATTTTCCCTCAGTCCTCCGGGATTTCCGGGACCTGAGAGTCCCAGAAACTTGTCGATAGGCCGTCTACGACAGCGACTATAACCACCATCACCAGTGCCACCACTACTACCAGTGCAATTGCAGCTGACTGCTTTACTAGTTGGCGCGCCACTTCATGAGAAGATGGCCTGCGGGAAAGGCCACAGTATAGTCAGGCTGAAGGAAAAATGGTCACTGTTGGTTCCATACCGTTGGGGAAAGTGAGGAATCTAAACGACGAATCGAGGGAGTTTTGGACCGTCCGTGGATTCTATCCATACTAAACGGTGGCAAACGCGGAGGCTCTCTCCTAGTAGTCTTTCAACGGAAAAAGCTCTTCTTGTTGGACGACCCTAAGCAGTCAGCTTGGAAGTGCACTGAGCAATGGAAAAACGTATTGGACTTGAATCGTTGGTCGAACGGATGTGTTCAAGCAAAACTAAATCCAGCGCAGCCTCCGGCTATTCGGTAGGACCAATTGTTACTATTACTTGTATCGTCGCTGATCCTACCATGCTGTCCTACAGCACCTTTGCCGCTGCACGGAAAGGCCCACTGGGAAGGGGGGAGGGGGAAGGGACTTTCGCGATTTTCGTCACTACCACTCCCGCAAATAGCAACCCTCATTTGCTACAGTCGAACGAAGACAGGAAGACGAGCCCATACGAAATGGAGGAAAAGTAACAAACAGTGTAAATGGAATAATATAAATCTAATATGAAACGCACCGATACGATTGAAAGCTGATACAGGACAAGGGTGGGGTTCGTCGAAATGGTCACTGCGTACAACCCGGCGGGTTGTCTTCCAGCTCAACAGTGGAATAGCAGCGCCGTCTAGTCTCAGTTACACCCAATCAAGTGTATCTCACACTCATATACCCACACAGCGCAAATGGAGTAAATTTTGCTATAGCACCAGTCTGCTCGTTGATTCGTAGCCTGCTACACCAGGAACTTTCTCTAGCGGCCAGCATCAGCGAGCCCGCGACGATGTGCGCCTCTTTCCGGTGCAAACAGTATTTCATGCTAAATTGAACTTTTGGGTCGTCGAGCCTTGCGAGCGGCTTGGCACTCAGGTGGCACGCCTGTTTGAGGGGGGTGCCAACTGACTGCCAGCCGCCGATTCAGGGTCAATGACAATCCGACTGTAGAGTGGCCACTGTATACTTCTATGGCAAATTGCGGTGAATATGAAAGCTCGCGCCTTCGCTTGCAGCCTGACTAGCCAATTGGCCTTACTTCTAGCTCAGCCTTAACCAACACCTAGAGATACTGCCGGCGGATATCAATAAAGATATGTTATTGATATTATTCATTTTACTCTTGTATTTCTAGTTCGTCCGTTTTTTTGTTATCTTTTTAGAAATATCTTGTTCTAGTTTTTCGAAATTTCGCCGGTTATTATTCGATCGGGCTACTGTCGTATCCAATTGTGATGCAATCTGGTAACTGTGGCATTGAGCAGGGAATAATGAATTCTTTAACGGACGAGCGATTTGTGGCCATGTTAAAATGACCTAGAAGATAAAAGACATCGTTAACCGCAGCGCCCCCAACTTGTATGTAAATGCAGTTTAGTCATTTGTTTGGACAGTGAGCGTTGTTAGTTAGTGTTCGTCCCGCCAAACGTTTACCTATTCAATGGAGCATCAATGAAGACAATCATCAAAATCGAGCATTTCTATCTATTAATGTCGAAGATGTCCAGGTAAAGCCTCTGCGATCTTTTGCCCCCACTGTTTGTGATATTTTCTGTTTTACTTTCAAAACTGAGCCATTTACGATGATTGAATGACGAGAAGCGCGTTTCGCCATGCATAGATGCACGCAAGCGTCGCTTCTGAGCCACCTGATAACATTTGTGCTTGCAATCCGGTAATCCCTTGTTTCGCATAATTGGGAAAAACAAAAAGAAACTAGAGTAGCAAAATCACAACAACGAACGGAAAGAACCTATAAAATGCGTTGCATATCCATGGACCAGCTTGTCGCTGTCGATCACTGTGGCTGTGTGTCATGACGATTACGACGACCACGCCAACCACAGTCCCAACAGAGCGGTGTTAATTCGATACCGCTTCAGCTATGCCTTGCGCTGCTCGAATCGCCTAACAGATGAGCGTATGGATGACTATCGTTCGCTCTGCGGTGCAGAAACAATGACAGCTACAGCCATCGAAGCAATCTGCAGTTGAGGATATGTCAGGTTAACAGTAGGCCCAATGAAAATATAGCGTCGACTGAAATATACGAGAAGGTTACCGAGGCCACTGACACGAATAGCTGTAGGATCTGCATCAGCAAATCAGTGCAGGGTTACAGGCGAATAAGGCGTCAGGGAGGAATTTTGCGAGAACACCATGCTTGTGAATTTAGCACAAAAGGGCTTGTCGCTGGTGTAGCGGCGAGCCGTAGCTGGCTCGTCGGCTAGTTGCCAACTGTAAATAAAGTTATTATTGTTAAGGCAACACCTGCTATTGGCTCGCTGTTTCGGCACGCCTGCCGTATTTCGTCTCTAAGTAAGTATGGCAACTACAGCTTGCCGGCGTAGCAGCTGCCGAAATAGTCGGTGACTCGTTGGAAAAGAATGGCCAGCTGGTCTTAAAGGTCTCGACAGAAAAAGGAGGCCAGTCAGAGCGTGTGTAGAGGACGTGCGAACTGCTGCAGCACTCCGTGGATGGATTGCGATAGAAGGAGAGGTAGCGATGCCGTCATGGAGGCGCGAGGATAGGAATGAGGTGGTTGTCTAGGGAGGCATTGCAACGGAACAGGTGGCGCCAGTACGTGTGTAGTCAGAGCCAGAGCAAAGTTGGTTCTTTCCCCACTTTCCCTATTATGCTCTGGTTGACTCATATTGCTGCCAGCATAGGAAAGTCCGGACAGGGCCGGCAGGCACAGATTGAACCCGTTCGGAGTCGGCACTTACTTCGTGGACGGCAACTTTCTTTAATAGACGTGTTGTAAGCGGGGAAGAACGCATGTTTCGCATGGGATGCTGCTTTCGCACAGCCGTAAGTTGACCTGCTAAAATACGGTATAACCTGCAATACCCCAGTGCTCGGGTTTGCCTGTGCGACACCGGCGCATCCATGTTTTCAGCGGCAAAGCCTCTCGTTGCAGCGTCGCCACCACTGTTACCACCTTTTCGATCTCTGGCAGTATTTCCTAGGTAACGTAACCCTAACCATAACCGACGGCAGACGAAGGGGTCCAAACGAAGAACAAAGGCACGTTCTGCGGGGAGCGTGTTCAACGGTGAAGTAAAAGGAGGTAAGAAAGACATAATGCGCGCGCGCGCGAGAGAGAGAGAGAGAGAGAGAGAGAGAGAAAGACATGGAGAGAGGAGAGCGTTCGATCTAAATGGGAAGACCGATAGGGCGAGGGAAAGACTGTGAGCGCCTACTTTTTTCACCACGAAACGTTTTATTGTTGATGCTAGCCTGGCGAATCCTTTTCACCTCTACGCTACCTGTACTGCTGCTAATACTTATACAGGCGATGGCACTGCATGGTGACGCCCGTAGGTGGAAGGATATAGACGAACACTTCAAGGGTTTCGTCTCGCTTGCCGCATGGTAGAAGGGCAGGAATTAAGCAGAGCGGCGGCGACAACAGGACCCGAGGCCAACAAGGGGTAATCAAGTGATTCGAATAAGAAGGCTAGGTACCGCAGCACTTTTTGGTGCCGTTGTTGCCGGTGCGGTAGCTCATGCGGCATGGGTAGTACGCAATTGCTGTGTGAGTGCATGGGAAAGAAGCAATGGATGGGGCTCTAATGTGTATAGGGGCGGCACAGGTCAGACACGAACATTGAAGGAAGACAAGGGGAGAAGGCCACTAGAAGGCTGAGCATGAGGCAAAAGTTATAGTAGTTG